TGGAGGACGCGCCTCCTCCGACGAGTGCTAGAACAAGTGCCTCCTCGCGGAGGTGCAGCATGCCGAGCCGGTCGGCGATGAAGTCCAGGCTTCCGAAGAGGAAGGCCTGGGATGACTCGAAGATGGGAGGATCCCACATCCCAACACATGGGAGTACGGGAAACTCTAGCGAGCCAAAGCAAGTAGTGTCGCTTGAGCCCGCCAAAGCTCCGCTCGTTTCCTGGGTCCTCACCGAGCTGGCGTCCCCGGTCGGTTGGTCCCAGTCGACTTCAACTGCGCCAGTCAGAGAAGAACTGTAAGCAGAGATCCGGTGCATCCCCGGTCGGAGACACGGGTTGGAGTCGGAAGCGAGCCTCGTTCCTCCTCGGCCAGGCCTTTCGGTCGAAGAGGCGGGCCAAAGTTGGAAGCGAGGCCTTCCGGTCGGAGAGGCGGGCCAGAGTCGAAAGCGAGCGTTGTTCCTTCTTGGCCAGGCCTTTCGATCAGATATTGGATCACTGTGGGGGATATGACCCTCGGTATCCATAAGACAAGACATGGGTCGCACCATCAGAGGTGGCCCAGCCCATAAGATCAAGGCATGCACGGCACTGGTCGATGTGCACCGCAAGATATTGTATAGTATCAAATATGATACTTTCCTTATAACACTACCCTCCAGAGTATATAAGGAGAGGCAGGGGTCTCCTAGTCGATAGCTACTACATCTCAATACAATACACTAAATACACAGGACATAGGGTATTACGTTGATCAGACGGCCCGAACCTATCTAAATCACTGTCTCTGCGCCTTGTATCACCATCCGGTTCCTGATTACGCGCACCTCCACCGATCAATCTACCTTCGTGGGATACCCCTCGGAGGACTGCCGAGCATCTTTTGTCGATAGTTGGCTCGTGCACGCTGATCCCTGGTGAATCAGACGGCGTAACTCAAGATCAACATCCTTCGCGGCAACTCGGCTGATCGCGTCGACATCCTTCGACAACCACGGCGCACGTCTTCGTACGCGGATTGACATCGCCAAGCTCCAACTACGTCCGTCCTACTCCAACACGAGATCAACTTTGTTCCAGCCGTCAAGCGAGCCGCTAAGCGAGCTGCCCGTGTCACCGACCACTAATATAAGGACGACATCGCCCGGACTACTTACTCCGACCACCTGCCGCGCCACAATGATGATCACCATGAAGAACGGCGCCGTGACAACCACGACCGCCACCATACGATAGTTTGGAAAGCTCGAGGGCTAGGCAATTTCATCAACGCTGACCAGATAACGCCATACGCCGCCGACCAGACGTTCTATCTAAAGCTAAGTCACGCTTTAATATTCTTATAAATATTCTCTAATCTTCGTATATCGCCATAATGTTTCTCCGAGCTGTTTTCTCCATGTTTGCTCTCCAAACAATTTTCTTTCATGTATACCATTTTAAAGATGGCATACAGCTAAGTCTAAGGCGAACCCTCGAACAGTCATGTTGATGCTCGGATGTCCCCAGAGATGACCCTGTCTCTGGCTCCTCTCTACACGTGCACGAGCGTCTGCCCTCTGCGTTATGGGTGGTCGACAGCGGCTCCTTAGCGACGCTTTATTCTTCCTACGCGCACACGGGCTCCGCGCTCTGCGTTATGGTTAACAGGCTAGCTAGGCCTAGAGACTCAGCTATACACTAACTGGTCGGGCGGTTTATATTAAATATAAATACATCTTCACACCAACTGATCGCCGAGCTGCATACGCTATTTCATCACCATTGCTGATTTTTCTCCGGAGTTCATATATTTTTACATCATGTACTACCCGTTCTACATATTTGTATTGCAGGATCATCGTCCAGGTGATCGGACCACCTGGTGCTCGGACTTCTCCACCGATCAATTGGTCGAACCGCTAGGTTCATGGACTTCGCCGCCGACCAGTTGATCGGACTGTTCGCCAGTCGTTTCTACTCAATGTTCACTTCGTCGCCGACCAGTTGACCCGACTGTTCGTCGCTCGTGCTTCATCGCCAGCTACGCCAGAGACTCCTCGGTGCTCGGATTCTTCGTGCAAGCATCGTCAGTTAAGCTGAGGACTCCCTTGGTGGTCGGATCTTGCTACGTCTCATCGGTGTGCTATCAAGCTGCTCTATGCTGTTCGGATCAGGGTGCTAATTTTGGACAGCACGTCTGGGGTCTTGATACGCGCATGTCAGATGACATCGGCAAGCTTTCAGACTTCTTTTCTTTGACCTTGCTACAAGATTCATTCTTCATCTTCCAGCAGGCTCAGGGACTAAGTGGCTACACTTCACCTGGCGGTGAATGTAGTACTTATTTCTTGATTTACTCTCCTTTTTTACGGAGTCTAAGTGGCTACACTTCTCCTAAGTGAAAGAATTTTTAAATTTTATCTTAAGCCCCTTACATCCTCCTAGCAAGCCTTACTTGGCTAAGTCCGATGTCTTCTAGCCAGTTAAACTGGTCGGCTCCTACTTTCAGCGTTTAGTTCGCCAGTTAAACTAGTCGGCTTCGACTTCCACTGCTCGGATCACCGATTAAGCTGATCGGTTTTGACTTCCACTGCTCGGATCACCAGTTAAACTGATCGGCTTCACGTCAAAGTGCTCGGACTTGTTCAAGACTGCGTTGCTCAACTGATACAAGGCGCTCGGGGACTAGCTGTGGGGGATATGACCCCTGGTATCCATAAGACAAGACATGGGACGTACCATCAGAGGTGGCCCAGCCCACAGGATCAAGGCGTGTACGGCACTGGTCGACGTGCACCACAAGATATTGTATAGTACCAAATATGATACTTTTCTTGTAACCCTACCCCTCTAGAGTATATAAGGAGAGGCAGGGGTCCCCTAGTCGATAGCTACTACATCTCAATACAATACACCAAAGACACAGGACATAGGGTATTACGTCGATCAGACGGCTCGAACCTGTCTAAATCGCTGTCTCTGCGCCTTGTGTCACCATCCGGTTCCTGATTATGCACACCTCCACCGATCAATCTACCTTCGTGGGATACCCCTCGGGGGACTGCCGAGCATCTTTTGTCGACAATCGCCCTTCTGGCCTGTCGTTAGGTTTTTGGGCCGACTCGGGAGTTGTGTGTCGTTCGCAACGTCGTCTGCTGGGCCGATCTTTCGCTGGGAAGCAGGTCCATGAGGGACCCTGGGTTTATGAACCCGACACTATGGCTTATAAAGGCCCTGTTCGTTTCGCTGAAATTTAGCTTATGCTGATTTGTTGTAAGAGAAAAACGTTGATTAACGTCAAAAGAAAAGAGAAAAACGTTGTTCCTTCGCTGAAAAAGTAGTGCTGAAAAACATGATGAAAATCATGATTTTATGATACTACAGTTTTTGAAAACCACATCATCCATACAGGCCCCTAAGAGTCTCTTAAAACAAAGCTCCTTGTGTTGCTCCATGCCCAAACAAAACTGTGCCAGGAATTTAGAATATTTTGGCGTCATGCAGCTAATAGTTAGCTGCTAAAAACTATTAGATGCCTCATCTAAATCCCCAGTTAAACTAATAGGTTAATATTGTTAAGTAAAAGAGTTGTTAGCTTGTTCCTAGCTAACACAGCCATGGATCCAAATTCCAAATGGTAGGGGTTGGTATAATTAACTGATGACCAAAATTAAACTGAACTACTAGAGACCAAAACCAGACTAACCGAAGTTAAAAAAATCGATCATATGTTCAGTCTTGTGTTCTTACTAACCACTTAATTCAGTTTTGTGCCTCGGGTACCACCGTAATAACCAAGAAAACCAAAATAAGGCTATGAAGTGGCTAAATAGCATATTCACTATGGAAGAAAACCGTATCAGCAGTCTGACCCGCCCAACTCCCAAACTAACACCGCCACTCACCCAATGGGCGGGGGTTTCCCTACGAAGTATTCCATTGGGTAGTGTATTTAGGGTACATTTAGGCCTTGTTTGGATGCATGCGTATCAAATTCAATCCACATGTGTTGGAATGGGATGAAATAGAACTTAGTTTAATTCCACTCCAATCGACTTCAATACATGTGGATTGAGATGAATACATGCGCATCCACACAAGGCCTTAGTAGGGACCCATATTCTCCTAAAAATATTTTAGTTTTAAATTCTCTCTAGAAACATATCTATGCTAAATTAGAATAACTTTATGGAACTGTTTAGCTAGTTTGTTGAATTCGTGAAACCTAGAATCAGCCAAAACTAGATTTTAGGTGTTTCTCTAAACTGGTGCAGAAATGAGAATCAGTTTCTATTTCTACTAAGAATTAGAAACGTTTCTCATTGTCAAACGCACAATATAGAATTATACCTATAATAATATAAGAGAGTACCTTTTTCAGAAAATCAGAAATCAATTTCTCCGAATTGATGGTTAATATTTTTCAACCACTGTAAAAGTTGTATACAGTACTAATAAAGTAAATACCCGTTAGGTCCGGATCGTGGGTACGAGAATCTCTGCTACAGAACGTAGTGCACCAGCGCCTAACGTCCAGCTTTGTTAAGCAATCTTCCCTCCCATGCCGGTAGCCGGTAGGCTGGTAGCTTATAGCTGCAATTCCCTTCCAAGCACACGTAACATGATGACATGATCAGATCGTGTATAAGCATACCACCATCCAAATGAGCGTCAGATTCTCGTGAGAAATATATTTATGTTATATTTGACGCACAGACAAAGAATGCTCAAATCTGTATGCTGTAGGCTTGCCAAGCAAATGCTTACAATTTCCATGACGAGCACGATCTATTTACAAATGGTTGCGAAGCTCTGGAGTACAAACGGTGCTAACCGGCTGATTATGCTACCGTATCTTTCACGCCACCAGCGCTAGGCACCTCGATCGATGAAATTACTGCACAGTGCACACGGTGCAAAGCACGGACAAACTATCTCCAGCACAAGTCTGGGTCCAAAACAGCAGTATATCGCAAAATCCTGTGCTGCTTTGAGGTCGCCTGCATGCATTGCACGGCTGGGTTACACGTAGTAGATCATGCCGACCTCAATAAGGCTGATGTGGGGGATGTGCAGCGTCACCGACGGTCCCCTGCAGTTCTTCCGGAGGAACGAGTAGGCGTAGTTGATGGCGAACGTCTTGAGGAAGTTGGAGTTCTTCCTCGCCTTCACGTACGAGTGGCCGATGATGTACGCCACGCCGGCCTCCTTGGCCTCCAGGAGGTCGGACAGCTCGTCCCTCACCTGCGGGTCGATCCGCTCCTCCTCGTCGATCTGGAACCGCACCCTCCGCCGGCGGCTGACGCTGCCGACGGCCTCCAGCTCGTAGATGGACTGCAGGCTCCGGAGCGTCTCGGACTTGCTGCTCCTGGTCAGGGACAGGGACGTGGCTGCTGCGTCGTCCTCGACGGATGAGTCCCTCACCACCAGCCCGGTCCCCGTCGTGTCGGTGGTGTGCACGACCGCCATCCTGCCCTCCGTCGACGACTCGTAGCTCCCCGTCCCCGACGAGGCCGACTCCTCGGCCTCCATCTGGATGAACCGGGCGATGCTCATCACCAGGTGGTTCTCGAAGTTCTCGTCGTCCTTCTGCACGTCCTTGTACCCGTACCTGACGATGCACCGGTACATGCGGTACTCCCTGGGCCCGATCCGCCCGATGAGGTACCGCTCGTCCATGGGCACGTACGGCACCGGCACCGACTTGACGCAGACGAAGACCAGCACCTGGTGGAACGCCGGCAGGTTGGTGACGAAGTGCGAGAAGATGGCCGGCACGCCCGTCACCAGTTCCGTGTAGATGAGGCCGATCCCGGGCACGCGCATGATGCCCAGGCTCGGGCCCAGGTTCAGGATCCATTTCATGGACACCTTGTTCTGGAAGTCGAACTGGTATTTCCGCCGTGTGCCGTAATGCCAGACGTACATGATGGACATGAACACGGCGGACAGCGCGATCGGACCCCAGCCTCCCTGGGGAACCTTCATCACTGCTGCAGACAGGTAGGCGGCTTCAAGTGCCCCAAAGAATACGAGGAATAGCAAGGAGATGAGGAGATTCTTCTGCCACACGAAGATGATGACCAATGACATCAGGCAGGTGGTGACAAACATCACAGTGATGCACGCGAGACCTGAGATCACACCAACGAAGGGAACAGGAGTCAGTGATGGTTGATTCAGTACGATGAATTCATGAAAAATATGGTGGGAGACAAGATCAATGTGCATCAACATATGGAGAGATGCTAGAACAAACTGACTATCGACCTCCAAAGTTATGAGCACCGTACTTACAACCTATCCAAGAAAATTGGCAGCTTTGGTTTCTAAGGAAAAATAGCAGGTGACTTTCATAAGTTTCATAATGCAGTAATTGACTATTGCAAAATATAGAGTTGCATATTTCTCTGGTCTTTAGGTTGTTCAACTAAAATTGGTGGCGTCAAATGTATATGATAGCAATTAGTGATCAATATAAGAGGGTAAACTATATGAACCACAAGGTTGAAAACAGCTTAAAACGAGGGTCTTGAATGAAATGGAGAATATGCAGGTGATGTAAACGGAAGCACCATATGGTTACAAAATAAAAGCTATGTGTTTGATAGGATTTGCCCAGTTTATGCAGTACTGAAATGGTCAGGCTTACCATAAGCATTTCCTATCACTGTTATGTCACGAAAGCCAAGTGTTGTAGCTAAACAGAGGACCATCAGAATCCAATTTATCTCAGGTATGTAAATCTGGCCATGGATCCACCTTGAAGTATGCACAACCTTTACTCGTGGAAAGCATCCCAAGGCAAGGCACTGCTTCACGATAGAAAAAGTTGCAGATATAATAGATTGGCTGCCCACAATTGCAGCAAGAGTTGCTATGACAAACACAGGCCAAAATAAAGGACCTGCAAGCATGATGTGATATGATTCAGCAGTCAACACTATCTTTCGGTAAAATATGAAGCAGCAAGGCACAAAAATATTTAGTGTTCTGAAGCTTACTTGGAATAGAAAGATAAAAACTGTTATGTACAGCTGGTATGTTTTTAGACAGAAATGCAGCCTGTCCCATGTATTGCAGCATAAGACAGGGATATATGACACCGACAAAGGCCAACTGCAAGCAGGACAAAAACTGAATTATGCATAAAATCCTTTTTAAGTTTTTTGACTAACATATAAACTGTTCTTCATACCCTGATAGATGCAGCGGAGAAGTGGCCAAGATCGGCAAACATAGCTTCAGTACCTGCATGTGCGAGTGCGACACAAATACGTAAGACAACTATTCATTTAAAAAGAAACAGACAATAGCTAGTCTAGTTGAATTCACCTGTGATAGCGAGAAGTACTCCGCCGAGAGATATCCAACCATCTTTTCCAGTTTTCTTGAAAAACTTTACAATATAGTGTGGAGAAAGAGCAACAAATATTCTAGGATTCCAGTGGATGATGTTATATAGACCAATGATACCAATGCTCAAGAGCCAGAGCACAACAATCGGAGCAAACAAGAATGCCACCCTATGAGTACCTCGGTGCTGCAGAGCAAAGAGGCCAACAAGCACAACGCATGCAATGAGTACGATCCATCCTGTGCACCAGCAAGTTGGTCAGGATGATGATATATTTGTTGAGAAAGAGAAAAACATTGCATATAGTTTATAATTAGTGTTCTTAATGCACAAAACCCCTGCACAAATAATGTGTTTAGTACTCTGTCATGTGACACGTTTCTTTTGCGAGGAATGTGGCACATGAGCATACATACAAAAGAAATACCGATATGTGTCAAGACAGGTCACACTCCGACACCTCATGTACCCCATCAGATTGAAATCTGTATAGCACCAGCATATAGCACGCAGTGCAATTTTGGAGATGTACAGGTTCAAATTGAACACATGCCAAATAAGCAACAAAACTCTGAAATATCCAATAGAATTCATATTTCGCAAATCAGTTCTTGCTACTATTTTACAGGCAAGTTGAATCACACTTTATCAAGATAGGTTTCGTGTCAGTGTTTTCACAATTCATAGATAACAGTGTTTTTCCTATTCGAGTAAGTTTGAAAATTTATACAACTAGAACAAGATATTCAAACATTAAATGAAGTGATTTTTCAGCATACTACCATAACAAAAGGTAATATCAATTTGATAGGTTAATGAAGTTTAGATCCATATTGCAAATTACAAGGATACTAAATTACAGATTGAGTTCAGCTCCTCAGCACACTACCCAAATCTAGGAGATCAGTTAAGAAAAATAGTTTGTGGTGTTGAATTCCAATCTAGGCTACAAAACTTCAGCCAACTACCTGGTGTTCCATAAGCATAACTAGTGGAACACCTTCTGAAGACGACACTCTAAATATAAAATGATTAGAACAAAGTTTTTTACAACAATGAATTTCTCAAAAACAACAGGCTGTAGTAAAGAAAATAGAACCGGCACATACCATCTCCTAGTCCACTTGTGGCAGGATCTTGTAATCCAGAGATGGCTGACAAAACTGCATTAGGCGCAACATTGGATGTCACAGGAGAGTTGAAAAATGCACCGCATAACTAAACGAAGTGAAGAAACTAGGAGATGGAATGCATACCAGACATAGTCGGTGTAAGGACACCATCACCTATCACCATGCACGCACCAAACAGAACAAACAGAAGTAAACAGGTCCGCAGCTTCCTGTGCTTCTCCAGAAACCTTTTGAATGGAGAGGAAGCCACAGCTCGATCAGTGCCTGGGTGATAATAAGTTGACAGCTCTTCATCTGCTGCTTGCTGGTTTGGCAGCAGACTGAATTTTGCATGCCTGCAAAGAAGTGAGTACAAAGCAAAGGTTCCACCTGTATAACACATTAATTTTGATCAGGTAACATAATAACATGCGTACCAAAGAAAGAAACACGCACTAGCTAGCTAAACAAAGCAACTGTTAGACAACTTTTTTTAGAATCAACTGCTAGACAACTTTTTTTTAGAATCAACTACTAGAAAGTTACGCAAACATTCTTGTTGCACAAAGTTTGGCATGCCCTAAGGTAAGGTGTTTTCTGGAGATTCAAGCAAAAGTGCAAAACTAGCTTAAAATACAGCATATGCATTTCGAAAAGAAAAACAGTTACACAACTCAGACAGTGCAGTAAGACATCAATAACATAATATATTGCAATTAAGTTGCTTACCTTCCCCATTGTCGTCCGCACTCAAGACAATTATGACGTACTTCAGCAAAGGAATAAGTGTAAAGGTCCAAAACACCAGAGAAAACAACCCAAAGATGGTTGTCTCATCAAGGTAACCGTTCAGTCTCCCAGACAATGAGTTTCTGTAGACATACAAAGGCGATGTACTCAAGTCTCCATACACCACACCGAAGCTCTGGAACGCTAGGAGGGAGAGGGTTCTGCAGTAACTTTTCCACTGAACCTGCAAAATTAAACAAACAACCGTATAAGCATGCAAGTTGTGAGTAGCAGCTAGCAGGAGGTGTTATCAGTGGTCAGTAAGCAGCACCAATCCAGTACCCAAATGCAAAACAAAACAACCTCAGCAATGGCAATAGCCCTCAGAGTCCCAGTCAAATTTCCAGGGGCACCAGCCGAAACTGCTGATGTATTGGCGGTGATTGTTAGCGGCATTAAAGTACTGAAAGTCTGAAAGTGACGTTTGCTCTAGGAAATTCGACTTAAAATTATTCGAAATAAAAAAACTGCATAACTTTTTCGTACGACGAAAAAAACTGTGCAATCGTCAATTTGAGAACCATGACGATGGGTCAACGCTGTAAAACGGTGAAAAATATTGAGCGGTCATGGTCAGGTTTTCGCCGTGAGCAAGTCTGCAAGTACCATCGAGAAGATGAGTACCAGGCAAACATTGACCCGATTCCAATCAATCACGTGATACGGATGAAACCAGTCATCTAATCCGTAGAAGGCGAGAGCGACTTGACCAAGCAGCGTCCGGCGATGCAATGAATTGGACACTCACGGCCACGGGTCACGGGTAACGCCACATCTCGCATTCGCCGGCAAGGCAGAGCAAATCTCCACCGCGGAACTCCTCCTCCCCCATATCGCGAAACCAAAATCGAACTACGAAGAGCGATTCCGCAAAATAATCAGGACGCGCCCGCGCCAGCTCCTGGCGTTATCTGGATCGCGGGACGGCCAAAATCGAACGGAATCTCAGCGACACCAGACACGAGTCCAGAGCAGAGGGGCGGATCGATCGAGCCGTTACCTGCTGCCGCCCGGCGGCGCCGACCTCCTCGTCCATTGCGGGCCTTCCACTGGAAGCGAGCGCGTAGGCAGCTACACGGAGAAGCGGAAGCTTGAAGCGAGGGCTAACGGCTAAGCTAAGACGAAGCCACTGCTGTAGCTACGCCCAAGGCATGGGGGCTCGCCCGCGACCGCGAACAGGAGGGCCTGAGAAAACGACGGCGGCGGAATGAGGCGGAGGAAAGAAGCTTCCCCTCGTCTAGTAGTTTATATATAAGCGAGGTCGTCGAGATGAGGGAGGGGGAAGAGCTGAAGAGGAGAGCGCGGGCGGAAACTGGATTGAGCTTGATGCGCACGTCGCCGTCTGGCCTCTAGGCGTCTGGCGACGCGTAAGAGCAGCGTGCCGCGGGTTGCGGCGGCGGCGGGGCGGAAGTGCACGGGAGACGTATCTGGCGCGTGGGACCGGAGTGTGGCCGGGGCCGTGGGGCATCGGCTGGTGCCTGGTGGGCTCGGCGTGTCAGTGGGACGAGCGGTCGTGACCGGCGCCGGCGGGCAGAAAGGGCCCCGCCCCAGTCGTGGCCCGGACGGTGGGGCCCGCGCTGCCGTCGCCGCGGATTTTGATTTTTGACACGAGCGCGGGGCATCTCGTGTGGCACAGGCTGCTGTGGATACGGTGCGGCCAATCACGTAGTAGAACGCTAGGAGTAGCTTGCCTCCTTAAAAAGATGTCGCGGGACGCGTGCTGGTTAAACTCTTTTAAGTTAATTAGATTAGTGAAAAATATTAACAACAATTGTAGTATATCTTTAAATAAATTTATTATAAAAATATATTTAATAATTATCTAATGATACTAATGTATTATGTATTAGAAATATTAATATTTTTTATATATACTTGTCAAAATTAAAAAGAGTTGCTTCTTGGGAAATAACGTCTTTCTTTTTTTAGATAGAGGGTGTATAACAGTGAGCTTCACGAGTATGGCTGTTTCTTTTCGTAGACCAAAGTGAGCCTTGCTCGTTGGGTGTGGATAAGGCCGAGGTGTGGACGCCGCGCGTGCGAAGGAGTGTTTGGGTCTGTTCGTTTATCTTATAATTCGTATTTTTCAGTTTGTTTTTTAGTTGTAATAGTATTTTTTCTCACAACAAATTAGACGAAACAATATTTTAGTTTATTTTTTTAGCGAAGCGAACGGGGCCTTTATAAATTGTGAGAGCAAAAACCGCAGGACACATGCAACCAAGCATCTTCGGGGCTTATTTGGCTGGCATTAAAGCCGGCTAAAGCTGATTTACTGTGAAAGAAAAATACTGTAGATTCTATAAAACGAACAGGCTAATCAAACGAACTGATGTAGCTGATCGAGAAGCTTGGCCGATGAGACCCTGCATCACTGGTGCGAGTCAGACCACGCTAAAAAGAAAACCAATCGACAGTAGCAGACCTAGGATTTGAATCTAGGGTATATCTTGTAAAAACATTTCGCATTCAATATGATAATATAATTCAATCCACAATCTAGACCTAGTAGATATAAACGCAAACGAGCACCAACTGAATGAGGAGATGATCCGTGGAGACTGAGATACTTAATTAAGACTGTTGGACTTTTTTGGTTTGGACTTTCTAAATCATACTAGTACTAATTATTTTTGTTAAAATCTATCATGAGCCTACCAAAACTAAGGCTGGGTTCGCCCATGCCGATCAAGCATGTAGACTTGTTATGAACACAAGTACACACGTCTTATATATACTTATAAGCATCTTCAAAAGACTGAACCAATTTATTCAACATCGACCAAACATAAAAAACTCTGTCAATGGACACAACAATTATCGCTAAAAATATAGTGCTTTAAATTAGAGAATAATTCTTGAAAAATGCAAACACCTCATTAAATCGAGCACTTTTGGATCCAAATGGATAAATTCTAATACAATAAAATCTAATTTATCTACTTCCTCCGTTTTAAATTATAAGTTACTTTGACTTTTTAGTTCATGCATTTTACTATGTATCTAGACATATTATTATATCTAAATACATAGCAAAATGGATGTACCAAAAAAAATTAAAACGACCTATAATTTGGGACAGAGGGAGTATCGCTATCTCTATCTCTATCTCTATCTCTATGTCTTTATATCTATATCTATATATTATTCCTTCAAAAATATCTATATACCTTATAATCCTAAATCCCACAATAATTATATCTCGACATGCAAGACATCCACATCGGCTGTCCACTCTAGCGCATGTAATTATGACACATATCTATTAATGCAAGCAATGCAAGTCATCATGCCACATCATCCACTAACATAGATTTATTTGTCCACGTCAACAAGCCATATCATCCACTAAAGTTCACTCACGATCCCCGTAACAACGTTCAGGATACGCTTCTACTATCTTATAATTCTAAACCCTACTAAAGGTTCTATCTCGATGTGTAAGTAATCCACCTCAGTAACAACCCATTAGCATCTGCAGCTATGGTATAAACGTCAATAAGACACATCATATGCTAACATGGACTCCATCCGTAAAAAAAAAAGGGTCGTTTTAGCGTTCAAAACGTGTCCCAGAAAGAATGACGCTCCGTACTGCCTCTGTACGTGCCAGGTCTATCACCGTAGTCTGGCTCGGTAGCCCAGGCCTATCACAATAGCCTCTCTCTCTCCTACAACCGGGCCATATTTAGATTGCAAAAATTTCAAACTGATGAATAGTAGCATTTTCGTCTTATTTAGTAAATATTGTTCAATCGTGGACCAACTAAGCTCAAAAGATTCATCTCGTGATTTTCAACTAAATTGTGCAATTAGTTATTTTTTTTACCTATATTTAATGCTCCATATAAATGACTAAAAATTGATGTAAGAGAGAGTAAAAAAAATTTAGAATTTGGAGGTGATCTAAACAAGCCCCCAGAGCCAAACGTTCTTGTCTGTACAACAATTAATGCAGCTGAGTAGAGGTGCACAGGTCATTCTCCTCTTTCCTTGTTACTCCCCGTAAATGCTAGGACGTCTATTTTTGTGGGACGAAGGGAGTATTTAGCGCGTGTTTAGTTTTAGGAACTTAGAATTTGGGGCTATTGTAGTATGTTCGTTTTTATTTGACAACTAGTGTTCAAACATGGATTAATTAGGTTCAAAACGTTTGTCTCGTAATTTTCTATCAAACTGTGTAATTAGTTTTTTTTTCGTCTACATTTAATGCTCCATGCATAGGCCGCAAACATTCGATATGACAGGTACTGTAGCAACTTTTTAGAATTTGGGGTCCAACTAAACACACGCTTAGTTGTTACCTCCTCACCCACTAACATTAATCTGTAATAGTTTGTCCTTATATGTTTTTTTTTTTTTGCAATTTTCCGCATGAACGCACGTGTTATGCTTCTAGCTGTGTTGATTTGTTAAGACCATAATTCACAATGAGCAGCACGGTAACTATTGCCCTTTGGCTGTGACTACAAGTTTTTTTATTAACAATATATATATTAATCATTGTGGCAAGTGTAGCATATCTATATACAATTAAACTTAATATAACTACTATGCTGTCCTAGCACACATAATATGAGCCACGAGTACGATGGTCCCGTTCGACTTACCCCATATTCGATTTGTTCGACTTCTTTTTTCAGCCGAAACAGTATTTTTCTTTCACAATAATTCAGCCAGAACAGTGTTTTTTTAGCTAATTTTAGCCAAATTTCAGATCAGCGAACGGGGCCTAGAGTGAAACCTTGCTGTTGTAGACACGTGGACAAGCACATTTGACCCGATCGATCAGTAAGCGAACAGATTGAGTAGAGATTGAATTATTGAGTTCATGTTATTCTAAATATATAATATAATGTCCATTATTTGTTGTATGTATGGACCTATCGCAATCATGCGTGATACACATCACCCATCATCGCCGCTAGCTAGCGTAATGAAGTTAGCCCTGGGCCCTGGGCCATGTTTGCCTATATATAATATCTTGTGAACCCCTCGACGACTCTTGAGACTCATGATTAGCTATCATCTGTTTGAGGTGAGATTTTTAACCGCATGAATTATATATGTTATTACAGCAAGCTCCATGTTTTTTAATGTATTTTATGTTAGCCTATACGTACGGAAGTTTCTGCACATTGTGCTATCGAGGACTGCGGTGAACTCCCATGTAGTAGTCTGTGGTCCCATACTTGATCGAAATGAACACGAATTGTACGTGTTGCTCTTTTTTATGTATCGACTTGTTTAAAAACAAGATAATGATAATAATACTAATCTAATTTGAAATTTGTGTACACATCTTTTAATTTCCTTTTGACATGGCCGTCCGTCTTCACTTTTCAAACTTTACTGAATATAAACCTCATGAAAAACACTTTTACGATTAAATTGTTATGAGAGAAAAAAATTCAAATTTTGAAAAAAAAAAAGAAAGAACAATGACTGGTACTTTTTAAGGTAAGCCGAACGGGGCCTGTCCACACCTAAAATAAGCTCAATAATTAAATGAGAGTGCATATTTCTTGTAGCTAGCAAGAGGTCAATTCAAGCAAAACTCTGTTGCTCTAGAACAAGCAACACAAAGCGGAAGCCATCTCTTCGTTCTAGAATGATAAGCATATATCCACCAGCAAAGAGCCATATAAAATAGATTTCGACTATTAATTTATATAATCTTGCAATATAGTGTTATTTGCTACAGAATCAATATCATCTTAGAGACACTTATTAAGAATGAAGTCTTGTGTCCTAGTCATATATCTAGTTTGAATAATTAATAATTAAAAAATATAAAATTTGACTTTTCTCTATATTTCGATGCAATTTCGTTCTAGGACGGGAACAATCAGCCTGTTCGGGAGACCGTATCGTATCGTGGATTATTTACTGCTAGCTGGTTTGGTGTGAGAGAAAAACACTATTTTCGGCTGGAAATTTACGATCGTTTACGAGCAAGCGAACATGCTGAATATTGCCTTCCGCGCACATCGTTGTTCTCGTGGACTCCAAAGTCCCCTCAAGAACTTAGCACAA